CATCCTCTTCTTCCTCATCCTCGTTTTCCTCCTTCTCTTCTTCCTGCCTCCTCCTCCTCCTCTTCCTCCTCCTCCCTCCTCCTTCTCCTCCTCATCATCATCTGCAGCAGCATCATCAGCATCATCATCAGCATCATTATTATCATCAGCATCATCATCATCATCATCATCATCATCATCATCATCATCATCATCATTATCCTCATCATCATCATCATCGTCGTCGTCATCATCATCACTTCATCAGCATCATCATCATCAGCAGCATCATCATCATCAGCAGCAGCACTATCATCATCATCATCATCATCATCATCATCATCATCAGCATCATCCTCACAAACAGTTTCCTCTTCCTCCTCTTCCTCCTACTCCTCCTCCTCCTCCTCCTCCTCCCCCGCCTCCCGCTTTCCTCCGCCTCATCCTCCTCACCCTCCTCTTCCTCCCTCCTCCCCCTCCTTATCTTGCTCCTCCTCATCATCATCAGCATCATCATCATCATCATCATCAGCATCATCATCGTCTTCTTCTTCGTTTTCTTCTTCTTCTTATTCCTCCTCCCTCCCCTCCTCCACCTCCTCCTCCTCATTATCCGCGTTCTCCTCCTCCACCTCCTCTTCATCCTCCTCCCCCCCTCCTCCTCCGCCTCCGCCTCATCCTCATCCGTGTTTTATTCCTCCTCGTCCTCCTCCGCCTCCTCCTCCTCTTCCTCATCCTCCTCGTCCTCCCTCCTCCTCATCATCCTCCTCATCCTCATCATCCTCATCCTCATCCTCCTCCTCATCATCATCCTGCCCCTCCCCCTCAGCCTCCCCCTCATCATCATCCATGTCTTCCTCCTCATCAGCATCGTCCTCTTCTTCTTCTTCTTCCTCCTCCTCCTCCTCGTCCTCCTCCTCCTCTTCCTCCGCCTCCTCATCCTCCTCTTCCTCCTCCGCCTCTTCGTCTTCCTCTTCATCCATCTCCTCCACATCCTCCTCCACCTCATCCTCTTCGTCCTCCTCCTCCTCCTCCTCCCAATCCTCCTCCTTCTCCTCTTCATCCTCTTCCTCCGCATCCTCATCTTCATCCTCCTCTTCCTCATCCTCCTCCTCCTCCTCCTCATCATGATCATCAGCATCATCATCATCATCATCATCATCAGCATCAGTATCATCATCATCATCATCATCATCCTCATCATCATCATCATCATCATCATGTTCATCGTCGTCTTCATCTTCATCTTCATCTTCATCTTCATCATCATCCTCCTCCGCCTCCTCCTCCGCCTCCTCCTCCACATCCTCCTCATCTTCCTCTTCCTCCTCCACCTCCTCCTCCTCCTCCGCCTCCTCCTCTTCATCCTCACCTCCTCCTCCTCCTCCTCATCCCCTCCTCCTCCTTCTTCCTCTCCTCCTCCTCCCCCTCTCCTCCTCCCATCCTCCCTCCCCCCCTCCCTCCTGCTCCCCCCACCCCCCTCCTGCTCCAGCTCCTCCGTCATCAGCTGTGTACTCTCCTCCCTCCTCTCTCCTCCTCATCATCTGCATCATTATCATCATCATCATCAGCTCAATCCTCATCATCATCACAGCAGCAGCAGCATCATCATCATCAGCATCATATCATCATCGTCAGCATCTCTCATCATCATCAGCACCATCATCATCATCATCATCCTTATCTTCCACTCCTCCTCCTCCTCCTCCTCCTCCGCCTCCTCCTCCTCTCCTCCTCTCCTCTTTCTGCCGCCGCCTCCATGCCTCCTCTCCTCCTCCAATCCATCTCCTCCACCTCATCCTCCTCGTCCTCCTCCTCCACCTCCTCCCCCTCCGCTTCTCCTCCTCCTCTTCCTCCTCATTCTCCTCGTCTTCCTCCTCCTCCTCCTCCTCCTCCTCCTCCTCCTCATCCTCCTCCTCCTCCTCCTCCTCCTCCCCCTCGTCTTCCTTCCGCCTCCTCCTCCTCCTCCTCCTCCTCCTCCTCCTCAACCCCCCCTCCATCTCCGCCTCCTCCTCATCATCATAATGCATTTATTTAATCGCTTCGCTCATTCCGCCGGCCCTGGAGCGCTATTTGGGGCCTCTTGGGGCCGTCTTGGGGGCTTCTTGGGGGCTTCTTGGGAGCGTCTTGGGGCTCCTTGGCAGCGTATTGGGCTCCCCTGGGGCCTCTTGGGTGGCTCTTGGGGGCCCCTTGGGGCGGGGGGGGGTAGTCGTTGGCAGCCCCTCCCTCGGAGTCCACGATCCTCGTGAGGGGTGGCGAAAAATAGCCTCCCCCCTGGGGATCGCCCGGGGGTCAGCCGGGGATCGGCCGGGGTACTTTTCGTCCGGGGCCCCCCAGGGGCCGCCCCGCGCGCGCGAACTAGAAATATTGTTAAGTAGTTACCCGAGATCTTGGCACGCCTCTGGCCCGTTGGGCTGGCGAATTCCTCCTCTTCCTCCTCCTCCTCCTCCTCGTCCTCCTCCTCCTCCTCCTCCCTCCTCCTCATCCTCCTCCTACGCCTCCTCCTCCTCCTCCTCTTCGTCCTCCTCCTCCTCCTCATCCTCCTCATCCTCTTCCTCCTCCTCCGCCTCCTCATCCTCATTATCTTATCATTCCTCCTCCTCCTCCCCCTCCTCCTCATCCTCCTCCTCATCATGCCCTCTCCTCCTCCACCCTCATCCTCTCTTCCTCATCAGCTTCCTCATCATCTTCCTCCCTCCTTCTCCTCCTCCTCCTCCGCTTCCTTCTCTTCCTCCTCTTCCTCCGCCTCCTTCCTCCTCCTCCTCTTTTGTCCTCTTGTTTCCTTTTGTCCTCCTCCTCCTCCTCCTCCTTCTCCCCATCCTTTGGTTCCTCCCTCCTCTCTCCTCGTCCGCATCCGCATTTCTCCTCTTCCCTCATCATCCTCCCTCCTCCTCACCTCCTCCTCCTCTCCGTCCTCCTCCTCATCCACTTCCTCCCTCCTTCCTCCTTCCTCCTCCTCCTCCACTTCCTCCTCCTCATCCTCCTCCTGCCGCCTCCTCCTCCTGCCTCCTCCTCCTCGCCCTCCTCCTCCTCCTCCTCCTCCTCCATCCTCTTCCTCCTCCTCCTCCTCCTCCTTCCCTCCTCCTCCTCCTCTTCCTCCTCCGCCTCTCCTCCTTTCCTCTCTCCTCTCCTGGCTCCTCCTCCTCCTCTCCTCCTTCTGCTCTCCTCCTGTTCATCGTCCTCCGTTTTTTTTTTTTTTTGTTTTTTTGGGGTCCTCCTCCTCGGCTCCTCCTCTCTCACCTTTCTCCTCCTCTCCTCCTCCTCCTCTCCTCCTCTCCTCCCCTCCTCCTCCTCCTTCCTCCTCTTCCCTCCTCCTCCTCCTCCTCCTCCTCCTCCTCCTCCTCCACCTCCACCTCCACCTCCATCTCCTCTTTTTCCTCGTCCTCGTCCTCCTTGGAGAGCACCAGGCGGGCTCTTGGAGGGCTCTTGAACGACATCTCGTCGGTGCCCTTGGAGGGCTTTCGGAGCCACATGTTTTCAGAGCTCTTGGAGTGCCCGCGGGAGGGGCGTGAGGCGCGCGGTCCCGGGCTCGCCCCCCCCGAGGGCGGGCGAGAGCACCAAGCGGCCCCCACGTCGGCGCCCGCCGGCCGCTGCCAGGACCCCTCGAGCCCGAGGCCTCCGCCGCGACCCCTCGCCGAATGCCGCCCCACCGATCAGCGCGGCACCGCCAACACACGACGGCATCGGCTACGCGGGGTCCCCCTCCTCCTCCCCCTTTGCCCCACACACTTTTTCATGCGTCTCGTGCGCATGTCTCAGCAAACACTGCGGTGGCGGCGTTGGTGAAGGAATGTGCCCAGGAGGCTTCAGACCCTGGAGGATTCCCTATCTGATAAGGGCGGCAGTGATATCCATGGCCAATCCACGACTGGATTTCCATTGGCTTCTAGACCCAGGATTCTGTATCCATTGGTTCCTTATCCAATGCCCTTACCGTACAGTGTTCTTGTAGCCTACGGCCTCACTCACCTGGCCTCACAAGGCCTGGACACTTGTCCGCATTGGTGGTTCGTTTGCCGTCGCGGTCACCGCCGCGGCCGCGGCGGGCGCCGCCACCGCCGCCGCCGTCGTCGTCGTCGTCGTCGTCGTCGTCGTCGTCGTCGTCGTCGGTTCGTCGGGTCGTCGGGTCGCCGCCGCTTGCCGGCCGCCCGCCGCCGCCGAGGAGCGCGAGCGCGAGGCGCGCGCGGAGCACGGGCGCGAGCTCGCCGCGGCCCGCGCGGGCGCACACGAGGCGCTCGAGGCGCAGCGCGCGGAGCTGCTGATGATGATGATGATGATGATGATGATGATGATGATGACGATGACGATGATGATGGTGATGATGATGATGATGATGATGATGATGATGATGATGATGATGATGATGTTGGTGGTGGTGTGTGGTGATGATGATGATGGTGTGGTGTGATGGTGATGGTGATGGTGATGGTGATGGTGATGATGATGATGATGGTGATGATGATGATGATGATGAGATGATGATGGTGATGGTGATGGTGATGGTGATGAGTGATGTGATGATGATGGATGATGATGATGGTGATGGTGATGGTGATGGTGATGGTGATGGTGATGGTGATGGTGACGGTGATGGTGATGATGATGATGATGATGATGATGATGATGATGATGATGGTGATGGTGATGGTGATGGTGATGATGATGGTGATGGTGATGGTGATGGCGATGGCGATGGCGATGGTGATGATGGTGGTGATGATGATGATGATATGGTGGTGGGGGTGATGATGATGGTGGTGGTGATGACGAGAGTGATGACGATGGCAATGATGACGTTGATGATGATAATGATGGTGATCATGATGATGATGATGATGATGATGGTGATGGTGATGGTGATGGTGATGGTGATGGTGATGGTGATGATGATGATGACGACGATGTCGATGACGATGACGATGACGATGGTGATGATGATGGTGATGGTGATGGTGATGGTGATGGTGATGATGATGAGGAGGAGGAGGAGGAGGAGGAGGAGGAGGAGTTGGAGGGGTCGCAGGCGCTCGACGCGCAGCGCGCGGAGCACGCGCGCGAGCTCGCCGCGGCCCACGGGCGCCTCGAGGAGGCCGCGGTGGACGCTGACCGCGCGGGCGCGCGCGAGGCGCGCGAGGCGCGCGAGGCACTGCGGCGCACGGAGGAGCTGCACGCCGCGCGGGAGACGGCGCTGCGGCGGGAGGGCGAGGAGGCTGGCCACACACCCCCCCAAGTGCACGGGAGGGGAGGGTGCGACGAGCGACGACGCCGACGGCGACGACGCCAACGCCGACGCCGACGGCGCCGACGAGGTCGACGGCGACGCGACGCCGACGACGGCGACGTTCGGTACGATCGACGTGGATGCGATCGAGATTCTGGTACGGTCGGAATTTCGGCACGGAAGATGGCGATTTCGGTACGATCAAGATTTCGGTGCGACCGATTTCGGTACGATCGAGATGGGTACGGAAGCCGGCGGCGTCGGTGCGATCGAGATTTCGGTACGATTGAGATGGGTACGATCGATGTTGGCACGGAAGATGCCGACTTCGGTACGATCGACATGGGTACGATTTTAGGACGAGGTGGAGATTCGGGCCCCCCCAGTTCAAAGCAGGGGAAGATTTGGAGTCGGCTGGGGGCTCTGAGGTGATCCAACCATTGGGTCCGGCGGCCAGCATGAAGGGTGGGGAGCAGGTTCGAGGCGCTGGGTTCAAGAAGTCGTTTTGCCGTTTCTGGTGTCCCAGCGGCCGTTTTCGGGCCCCAGGACCGTCAATTGTGGAGTCCAAAACCCGGATCGCGAAACGCCAAAAAGTCTTTCCAACACGGATCTCTGGAAGAAGCTTCCAGAGGAGCTTCTGGAAAGCTTCCGGGCACACGTAAGTATCGGGAAACAGTTAGAAAAGGCCTGCCAGGACCCGGTGCGAATTCAAACCAGCCGCTGCGAGGTTCCTTGACCGACGCTGGAACAAGCTCCGAGACTACCCTGCGGTGCCGGCCTCTAATATGATACCTTCTTAGCGTTCTACAATACTTTCTACAATACGACCAGGACCGTCCACATCGGATCCAGAGTGAAAAAGTGCACCCAGTGGACCCCAGCAGGGGTCCAGGGATCGATTTTGAGCAGATTGGCATTCATCCATCCCCCCCTGCGCAGAGGAGGGGAAGATTTCGGGACCCCCCCAGTGCCCCGAGGGGTCCAGGGACCGATTTTGAGCAGATTGGCCCTCATCCCCCCCCCCCCCAAGTGCAGAGGAGGGGAAGATTCGGCGGCCCCCCCAGTGCAGAGGCTGGCCCCCCCCAGTGGCGGCGGCGAGCCTGGGGGGGAAGTGAGAAGGGGCGGGCCTTTCCTGAAGGCTCGGAAGTCCCCCGGCCGTTGAGAAGTTGCCCGAGCCGTCCCCGAAGACACGGGAGAACTCTTCAGAGGGCGGGAGAGGGCGTCTGAGAAGTGCCGCCGCCCTCCGAGCAGGCCTACTCCTTCTCTCCTCCCTCCCTGTCTCCCTCTCCCTCCGCGCGGAGCGCGCCGCCCCTCGCAGCTGGAGCGCGAGGCGCGGAGCTGAAAGGGATGGAGAGAACAAACAAAATTAGCCTGGCGAAGGACCCAATCATATGCAGTTGAGAGTACCGCAATTGTGAATATCTTCTTCGGTGGCGCTCCCTATGGGGCCACGAGCCGTGTGAGGGGTGTGCCGAAATGCGTGGCAGTGTACACAACACGAACGAAGACGATAGGTCCGAATATGAAAGCTTGAGCGCGTGCGAGTCGGATCGCGAGCGACTCTGATTATGAATGAATCTGCGCGCGATTGATTCTATTCGCATGAATGCGTGCATGGATAAGCCCAGTGTAAATGTATGTATACGACTGTGAACAGTTTGGGTCTGCGTGACTCTCGGTACTCGTGACTCTGAGCGTCGCCTCTGCAGGGGGCTTCCCTGGGAACCCCGACGGCAGCGCCCGCGCGCCGCGACGCCCATGTCGGCACGCCACACACCTGGTGTGAGGGACGCATGCGGACGGCAGCACTGGGGCCTTCGGTGGAGCTCCCTGTGGGGGGGGGGGGGGGGGGGGGGGGGGGGGGCCACGAAACGTGTGAGGGGTGTGCCGAAGATGGGAGTTGCGGGACGCATGCGGACGGCAGCCATGGGGCCTTCGGTGGAGCTCCCTATGGGGCCACGAAACGTGTGAAGGGGTGTGCCGAAATGGGTGTGCGGGACGCATGCGGACGGCAGCTCTGGGGCCTTCGGTAGAGCTCCCTATGGGGCCACGAAACGTGTGAGGGGTGTGCCGAAATGGGTGTGCGGGACGCATGCGGACGGCAGCCATGGGGCCTTCGGTGGAGCTCCCATATGGGGCCACGAAACGTGTGAGGGGTGTGCCGAAGTGGGTGTGCGGGACGCATGCGGACGGCAGCACTGGGGCCTTCGGTGGAGCTCCCTGTGGGGCCACGAAACGTGTGAGGGGTGTGCCGAAATGGGTGTGCGGGACGCATGCGGACGGCAGCATGGGGCCTTCGGTGGAGCTCCCTATGGGGCCACGAAACGTGTGAGGGGTGTGCCGAAATGGGTGTGCGGGACGCATGCGGACGGCAGCACTGGGGCCTTCGGTGGAGCTCCTGTGGGGCCACGAAACGTGTGAGGGGTGTGCCGAAATGGGTGTGCGGGACGCATGCGGACGGCAGCCATGGGGCCTTCGGTGGAGCTCCCTATGGGGCCACGAAACGTGTGAGGGGTGTGCCGAAATGGGTGTGCGGGACGCATGCGGACGGCAGCCCTGGGGCCTTCGGTGGAGCTCCCTATGGGGCCACGAAACGTGTGAGGGGTGTGCCGAAATGGGTGTGCGGGACGCATGCGGGCACACCCACTGGGACCTTCGGTGGAGCTCCCTATGGCCACGAAACGTGTGAGGGGTGTGCCGAAATGGGTGTGCGGGACGCATGCGGGGGGGGGCGGGGGTCGAGGGGAGGCCGGCAGCACTGGGGCTTCGGTGGAGCTCTTGTTTGGGCCGCGTGAAAACGTGTGAGGGGTGTGCCGAAATGGGTGTGCGGGACGCATGCGGACGGCAGCACTGGGGCCTTCGGTGGAGCTCCCTGTGGGGCCACGAAACGTGTGAGGGGTGTGCCGAAAAGGGTGTGCGGGACGCATGCGGACGGCAGCCATGGGGCCTTCGGTGGAGCTCCCTGTGGGGCCACGAAACGTGTGAGGGGTGTGCCGAAATGGGTGTGCGGGACGCATGCGGACGGCAGCCATGGGGCCTTCGGTGGAGCTCCCTATGGGGCCACGAAACGTGTGAGGGGTGTGCCGTATTGGGTGTGCGGGACGGCATGGCGGGCGGCAGCATGGGGCCTTTGCTTTCGGTGGAGCTCCCTATGGGGCCACGAAACGTGTGAGGGGTGTGCCGAAATGGGTGTGCGGGACGCATGCGGACGGCAGCACTGGGGCCTTCGGTGGAGCTCCCTGTGGGGCCACGAAACGTGTGAGGGGTGTGCCGAAAAGGGTGTGCGGGACGCATGCGGACGGCAGCCATGGGGCCTTCGGTGGAGCTCCCTGTGGGGCCACGAAACGTGTGAGGGGTGTGCCGAAATGGGTGTGCGGGGACGCATGCGGACGGCAGCCATGGGGTCTTCGGTGGAGCCCCCTATGGGGCCACGAAACGTGTGAGGGGGTGTGCCGAAATGTGTGTGCGGGACGCATGCGGACGGCAGCACTGGGGCCTTCGGTGGAGCTCCCTGTGGGGCCACGAAACGTGTGAGGGGTGTGCCGAAATGGGTGTGCGGGACGCAGGCGGACGGCAGCCATGGGGCCTTCGGTGGAGCTCCCTGTGGGGCCACGAAACGTGTGAGGGGTGTGCCGAAATGGGTGTGCGGGACGCATGCGGACGGCAGCCCTCGGGCCTTCGGTGGAGCTCCCTATGGGGCCACGAAACGTGTGAGGGGTGTGCCGAAGTGGGTGATGACGATGACGATGACGACGATGACAATGACGATGATGATGATGATGATGATGATGATGATGATGATGATGATGATGATGATGATGATGATGATGATGATGATGATGATGATGATGATGGTGATGGTGATGGTGATGGTGATGATGATGATGATGATGATGATGTTGATGTTGATGATGATGATGATGATGATGATGATGATGATGATGATGATGACGATGATGATGTGATGTGATGATGTATGTTCTGATGGGATGATGATGATGATGATGATGATGATGGAGGAGGAGAGGGGGAGGAGAGAGGAGGAGGAGGAGGAGGTGGGACGCGGGGCGCTGTCTCTTCAAAACGAGGACCCAACACCACAGGATGGTTGGGAAAAACTTCTCACTTCCCCCTCTCGCTCGCCGCCGGCAGTGTGCAGAAGAGCGGCCACGCCGCGTGGTGAATCGGTGGGGAGCCGGGGTCCCCGCACGGTCTCTCGTGGCCCAGGCCGCTCTCCGGGGACGCCTCGGCCAGGGGCGGCCAGGGCCTCCGAGGTCCCAAGACCGCGTGGTGGCGGACCGCGCGGTGCCCCGAGAAGCCCCCAGAGGCCCCCAAGAGGCCCAAGGAGGCCCCCAAGATGCCTCGAAGAGGCTCCCGAGAAGCTCCCAGGAGGCCCCAAGAGCGCCCTCAGAGGCTCCCAAGATGCCCCCTCCTCCTCCTCCTCCCCTGCTCCTCTCCTCTCTCCTCCTCCTCCTCCTCCTCCCTCCTCTCCTCCTCCTCCTCCTCCTCCTCCTCCTCCTCCCTCTCCTCTCTCCTCCCCTCCTGTCTCTCTCCTCCCCTCCTCCTCTCCTCCTCCTCCTCCTCCTCCTCCTCCTCCTCCTCATCCTCCTCTCCTCCTCTCCTCTCCTCCTCCTTCTCTCCTCCTCCTCCCTCCTCTCCCCCCCCTCCTCCTCCTCCTCCTCCTCATCCTCCTCCTCCTCCTCCTGCGGTCGGCGCGGTTCGTTACCACACGGTTTTGGGACCCCCGAAGGTGCATTCACCAGGGCGGAGACGGGTCCAGAGGGAAGCAGGTCCTGAGGCTTCTCGCCGCTCTGAACCTCCCTGGGCTTGCACGGGCCCCGCGATTGGCAGCAAACTTGTCGGCCTGTCCCAAGAACAGGCCCGCGGTTCAGGATCCGTTCGCCTTAGAACCCGCTTCCTTCGTGCCAACGATACCGCTGCTCGTCCTGGAGAGCCCTCGTCGCCACGACTGGATTATCCTCGGAATCTTGGCAAACGCAGCCCAGCAGACGTCCGGGAAGTAGCGGTGTTGGTGCCTTTTTGCCCCCCCCCCCCCCCCGCACTTTGGCGTTGCAACAAGCGCGAGCAGGGCTGGGACCATGATAAGTCACCCCAGGGCGTTTCAGGACGCTCTCAGGGCATTCCAGAGCGCTCTGGGACGGCCACGGCGCCCAATACGTCCTCCAGAACGGCCACATCTCAGAGACCCCCGAGTTGTCCCAGTCCGATGTTCCCCCTCCTTGGCTTCGTCTTACAAGCGGTTTCGGGCATGCGCCGCCCATTCCCGGAGCAACGGGGCCCCCGTGCCCAGGGTTGCCCGTTGCGGGTAGCCCCTGCGGTGCCGTCGGTTCCGCCGCCGAGCCCGCGGGCGGCAGTGACTGGAGGAGGAGGAGGAGGAGGAGGAAGAACGAAGCACCTCCTCCCTCATTCCTCTGCACGTGCACGTCGCGGGGGGGGGACTCGTATTGTCTCCGCCTTTCTCTTTTCCTGTTAGTATGGGCTCCGAACCGATTAGCCCTTAGGCTAGCGAGCGAGCGATGAGGAGGAGAATGGAGGCGGGGGACCGATGACGACGGCAACGCTGACGGCGGCGGTGGCGGCGACGGTAACGACGGCCGGCGACGGCGACTACGACGGCGGAAGCAGCGTCGAAGACGGCAGGTGGGCATCGCGCGAGCCCGTCCAGTCTCGCGCGAGGACGCAGACCTCCAACGTCGTGGGTTTTTGTTCGACCCTGGCATATCTGCCGCTGCTGCGATGCGTTGGTATCCGCGGGCTGGGCCCTGGGTTCCTCAGAGACTGTCCGCGGCGAGCGCCAGCAGCTTCACAGAGGGGGCCCAGAGCTCCAGGGGCCCCACGTGTTGGAAAATCCGCAACGTCAGGAGGCGTCGGGAAAGTGAGAGAGAGAGAGGAGGAGGAGGGAGGTGCTCTCATAGGTTCGAAGGGTCTTCGAATGTTGTAGAATGGATGAGGAGGCGGAAGCGGAGGAAGAGGAGGAGGAGGAGGAGGCGCTCTAAGGTGTTCCAAGGTGTTCTGGTAACTGCCCGTCTGCTTTCAGAAGTTCCCGAAGGCGCTCTGGAGCTTGTTTCTCTAAGTCCCTGGGTTCTGTAAGAGACAAAGTAGAGACTGAGGCTGAATCGGCAGAGGAGGAGGCGAAGTAAGAGGAGGAGGAGGGGTTAGCATGGAGGATGGAGGTAAGAAGGACTAAGGGCGTTATGCAGGGAGGGAGTAGGAAGGTGAAAGGAGGGAGGGAGGGAGGGAGGGAGGGAGAAGAAAGGAGGGATACGAAAGGAGCCGCCACCCGAGGGCCACCCCCGCCAGGCGACGACAGCGACGACGGCAGCGACGACGACGACGACGACGACGGCGACGGCGACGGCGACGGCGACGGCGACGGCGACGGCGAAGAAGAAGACGTAGACGAGGTTCGAAGTTCGAGGTTTTCATGTATGTTTGGGCCTCCTGGGACGCCCATCGCGGCCACGGCCGGACTGCTCTGACAGTTCTGGTCAGGCAGCACTGCTGGACAGGAGGGTTGATTCTTGGGCTTCCGCCCCCTTGGGTCACTGTCGGTTGTGGCGTGTTGCTCCTGAGGGCCTCTTGGGCGCCTTTTGGGGGCTTCTTGGTGCACCTGTGGGCGCTTCGTGGGGGCCTCTGGGGAGCCTCTTGGAGTTTCGTGGGGGCTTCTTAGGGGCCTTGGGGAGCCGAGGGCTCGAAATGTGGGCGGCTGTTTTGGGCTATGTTGGAGGCCTCTGAGGCCGTCTTTGGGGCCGTGTGGGGGCCCTCTTTGCCTGTTTAAGGGCCCTCTTGGAGGCCTTACGGGCCGTCTCGTCTGGGGGGATCTTGGGAGCCTGACGGGCCGCCATGAACAGTCGGGAAATCGAGAAGGCGAGAACGCTAAAATCTTTCAAAAACAAACTGAAAATCTATGAACGTTGCCTCTTGGGGCCCTCTTGGGAGGGCTCTTGGAGGCCTCGTGGGGCGTTTTACGGACATATTGGGCGTCTGGAGGCCATCGTGGCCATCCTGGACGATCTTTCGGCGACTCGGGGCCCTGTCTTGGGGGTCTCTTGGGGCCCTCTTGGCCCGTTGTGGGGCTCTCTATCCTCCCATGATGCGTTCGGGCCAGGCCCGGGGGAACCAGGCGGACCCCCCTCCTTACAAATCAGCCAGACTGGGCTCCGGGGGGGAGGGGTTGGGGATGGCGGGACGCCCAAAGATGATCCAGGTTATGTCGCAAAGTGCACTTTTTAAACCAGTGGGACATTGACGGAGTTGGCCCTGGAAGCCCTCTCGGGAAGCTGTGTGGAGTGCTCGTCAACTGTATTCGGGGCTTCTGGGGCCGTTTTGGAACCGTCGTGGGCGTCTTGGAGCGAGATGTGAGGCGTGCCGGGGCCCTCTTGGACAGTGTACCGCGTGCTCGCGAAGGAATGCCCCGGGGCTTCCAGCAATCGCGGCACCGACCGCACCATCAGTTGTGATTTCTGCGGCTGACATTATCACTGTTCGCCGTGCGCGCATGGAGAAGCGGGCGAGAACCCACGTTGACAGACGGCGGGCATCTGTCAAAACACGTTTTTGAGCCGTCGCGGGCGCCTTGGAGCGAGATGTGGGGCGTGTCGAGGCCCCCTTGGGGTGGAAAAGTGCGCGCACAGATTCGAGTCGTGGGGGACCTCTCTAGGGCCAGGAGGCGGCAATTCGGTACCTAACGGAGGTTGTTTGAAGTTCTCTTGGGACCCCAGTATCAGTGTTCGCCGCGCGCGCATGGGGAAACGGGCAAGAAACCACGTTTCCAGACGGTGGGCATCTGTCAAAATACGTTTTGAAACCGTCGCGGGCGCCTTGAAGCGAGATGTGGGGCGTGTCGAGGCCCCCCTTGGGGTGGAAAAGTGCAGAGATGCGAGTCGCGAGGGACCTCTCAAGGGTCAGGAGGCGGCAAGTCGGTACCTAACGGAGGTAGTTTGAAGTTCTCTTGGGCCCCCATTATCAGTGTTCTCCGTGCGCGCATGGGGAAACGGACAAGAAACCACGTTTCCAGACGGCGGGCATCTGTCAAAATACGTTTTGAAACCGTCGTGGGCGTCTTGGAGGGAGATGTGGGGCGTGTCGGGGCCCTCTTGGACAGTCTACCGCGCGCGCGAAAGATTCCCCCGGGTCCCGGCAAGCGCGGCACCGGCCGCACCAGCAGTTATGATTCTTGCGGCTGACATGTGCAGCGTTCGCCATGCAACTGTAGAAAAACGAGCGAGAACTCACGTTTACAATCCGCGGACATATTTAGAAATACCAGGAGAATGATTATCGAATGGCCCTCGGCACATCCCGCCACAGTGCCTGGGCTGCGTGTTCGAAGCCACTCGGATGTGGGAGGCATCCCGGGGGCGTTCGGGAGGCAGTGTTTGAACCTCTTGGGGGCCTCCTGGGGGCCTCCTGGGGTTTGGGGGGCCTCTTGGAGTTCCCGGGGGGCCTGTTAGGTTGGAGCTTCTTACAGCAACGGTAGGGCGTTTGGGGGTCGTCGAAGGTTCCAAATGTCCGTTCGGGTTCCCCCTCTGGGCCCTTTCGGGGCTGTCCTGGCGCCCCGTCTGGGCCGTTTTGAATTTTTTTTTGAGCGGTCTTGGAGCCTTCTTGGGTCGTTTGGCAGTCCTCTTGAGTGCTTCTTGGGCATTCTTGGAGCGATCTATAAGGTTTTTTGGGCCGTCTTGGACGCTGTCAACGCAGAATGGCGAATTTGCTAAAAACGCAGGTTTTCCCCAGGGGAATGGGCGATGTCTTCTTTTTGCGGCCGTCCCAGGACGCCTCTTAGGGGTTTGGGGGGGCGTTTGGGGGGCCTCTTGGGCCGTCTGGAGGCCAGCGTCAGGATCGATTTTTCGGCAGCTCGCGGCGGCCTCTTGGGGCCCTTTTGGCCTGTTTTGGGGCCCTCTGTCCCCCAGTGATGCGTTCGGCCACATGCTGATGAACCCCAAGGGGTCGGCGGATTTTTGGCCCCCGACTGGCAGCGGCGGCGACGACGGCGGCGGCGGTGGCCTTGGCGACGACGACGACGACGACGACGACGACGACGACGACGACGACGACGACGACGGCAACGACGACAGCGACGACAGCGACGACAGCGACGACGACGACGACGACGACGACGACGACGACGACGACGACGACGACGACGACGACGACGGCGGCGGCGGCGGTGGCGGCGGCGGCGGGCGGCAGCGACCACATGGTCGGAGGCCCGCGGGAATTTACGCGACGCCCAGCGGCTCATGGCGCTGCTCTGGAGGAGGGAAGGCGCAGGCCTGAGCTCTGCCTCCTCGTCGCTTCCTCCTCCCAGCCTCGATCTCGTCCTCTTTGGTCGTTCTCGTCCACGGGTTGTTTTCATGGTCCGGTTGGCCCCGCATGGCCCTGGCTTCCACCCTCCCGATGTACAGATACGGTTTCTCCTCGTCGCACTGGCGGACGCGCCGTCAGGGCACACCGGGTTTTTCGCTTGACGGCTACCACGTGTAGCCCTGAGCCTTGAGACTCCCAGCAGCTACACGGATGGAGGGCGGGTTGTTGGCAAAGTGTGGCTCCAGCCGAGGAGCCGTGCGTATGTGCATCAAAAGTTCCGAAGAGCTACAAGGATGGAGGCCGAATTGTTTTCAATGCGGCTATAGCGCCGCGCGCAGTCGTTATGATAGCATTGTCAAAATGTGGTTCTGGTCGGTTGGTTGTCTGGTTGTCAAAATGTGGTTCTGGTCCTCGCGCCGCGAACATTCCTTTTCCCCAAACAGCGTGCATTTAAGGGTTCTCATGTTTTTCTAAGTAATTGGGCTGGTGTGGCGGTCTGGCGCCCATGCTGTCGCCGTCACCGCCCCGTCGCCTCCTCGTCGCCGCCCGTCGTCTGGGCCAGTGTGGCGGTCTGGCGGCTACGTTGTCGCCGTCGCCACCCCGTCGCCGCCTCGTCGCCGCCCGTCATCTGGGCCAGCGTGGCGGTCTGGCGGCTATGTTGTCGCCGTCGCCGTCCTGTCGCCGCCTCGTCGCCGCCGCGTCGCCGTTTCGTCGCCGCCCGTCGTTTGGGCCAGTGTGGCAGTTTGGCTGCTATCTTGTCGCCGTCGCCGCCACCTAGAGCCCAGACTGCAGCACATCGATTGCGAACATATTCTCTCTGTTCTAAAAGACCATTCGGATCTACCCCCCTGCCAGAATGAGCACCACCTTTCTTCGTATTGCAATTTACGCGCGATCCTGCCCCATCGTCCATCCGAAATATTTTCCATACCATCCCAGGCAGGCCGGTATCCGCCCCCACCCCTTGTCCTTTGCCAAAAAGTACTGTGCGCGCACATTCGTTCATCTGAAATCATCAATTGTCAACAAATCCCTTGTCAAAAAAATGACGAAGTGCACACGCGCGCGTCGCCGCGCGCGCATGCCGAAAGCGAGTGTCCCGAAAACATATCAAAACACAGGGTTTCGCAACACGCTCAAGCTCTTGCGGATTCTTGAGAAAACCACAGGGGACTCAACATCTTCACGAAAAAATCCATACTGGCGCTTCGCGCGCGCATGTCGAAATCGTTCGAACGCCTTTTCGCGCGTGCTGTCGCAATAATCCTTTCGCAAGAAATCAGACGGAGTGCACGAGCGCATCGTCGCGAGCATGCTGAAATATTTAAGATGTGTGTTATAATATTCATAATAATAATAATAATAAACATTAAAAATAATAATAATAATGGTAATAATAATAATAAAAAAAATGCTAATAATAATAATAATAATACTAATAATAATTAGGATACTAATAATAGTGAAAATAGTAATAGTAGTAATAATAATTGCTTTAACACAAAAAAACAAGGATGTCAAAAGTGGGTGCCCCGAATTTTTGTCCCTACCTAGGCTCTGCCTAGAAGGGTTCTTACTCTCTTGGCTTAAAGGGGCCGGGCAGTGTAAAACGCCCCGGGCGGTTCCCCCAGGATCCGCCCCGCGGTTCCCCCGGCTACATCCCCTTAGCTTAGCGTTGCTTATCTCATCTTAGCTTAGCCTACCTTAACTTAGCTTAGCCTAGCCGAGCTTAGCTTAGTTTAGCTTAACTTAGCTTAGCATAGCCTAGCTTAGCTTAGCTCAGCTTAGCTTAGCGCAGCGCAGCATTAGCATAGCATAGCATAGCATAGCATAGCGCAGCACAGCATAGCGCAGCATAGCATAGCATATCATAGCATATCATAGGCTATTGCGCAACATAGGTTATTGCACAACAGATATTGCACATCACAATTTGCAGCACACTACTTGCACCACATAGATTGCTCCGCACAGATTGCACCACGTTGATTGGTCCACGGTGGCTATCTTTTAACTGGTTCAAACAGCCATGAGGACGGATTGCGAACGGCTTGCAAAATAGAAAGTTTCTTCGGCGCCACACATGTTCGCTTGTTCCGACCAGCTTGAATGATGGAGAGCGGTTGGTTTTCACAATGGAACTCTCGCGTTAGCGCCGCGCACATTTGTCTTAACTGTTTCACGAGTAACCAGGATGGAGACCCGCTCATTTGCAAAACGGCGCGTTCGCCTCTCATTGTCTCGCATATTTTTTTGAGTAGCCCCCAACAGGTTCAACGATGGGGGGCGGGCACCCTTCAAAACGTAGCCTATGCGTGAGACTCTGTTTTTAGTTTCAATCAGACATGCATAATGAATGACACACGGATGGATGACGGTTTTTTTCACAGCGGAATTCCCGGTGCACATTTCTGATGCTTACCAGCGCGAACCCCACTGCGTCAACACCATCGCCAGAAACATCATCGCCATCACCGTCGTCGTTGTCGTCGCCATCGTTATCAGCACTATCATCACCACTCGCCCGCCTGAGTCATGGATCAGCGTGATCAGGGTCATCGCGTCACTACGCCAGGTGAGTTTCGCCAGCTATTCGCGGGCTGGTGGTTGGGATATTTGTCCGAGCATGATCGTTGACGACGAGCATTGGAGGTGGCCACGCGCTGTGTAGGGTGATGGATGCTCCTTTGTAGAGACGGATGGACTCCACCACCCTCCCCCCCCCCCGACTTTTCGATACCCCCTGGGACATTGCAAATTGCATATGGCCGTTCCCGGTTTTTATTTCCCATACGAGCGCGTACCATCTCAGGCCTGGCTAGGAACCGCCCCGCTCACAGACCCCCTCCACCCCCCTAATCCCTGTCAGAGAGTTCTATGCGCGCACGCTCGTTCATGTCAAAAGATTATGTTTCAACAGCCCCATGCGAAAAAAAATGCACAAAGCCGACGCGCGCGCACCTGTCGAAATCATACCTAACACCCGCCTTGCAAGGGTTTCAAAATAAAAGCTTGAGCAAGACAATGGTTCCTGTGACAAGTGTTGCAGATTCTCTGCCCGCGCGCACGTGCTGAAATCATGGGAGTCCCATACGATTTCAGCAATCTCGCCCCGAGACCGCACTCTCCTTTCACCGCACGGGGCATCCGCGTGGATCCAGCACGCGCCCAATGTACGAGAATTCACATCACGTAACGTCCTGTAGGGCCCACAGGCGCGACGCCAGGCGAGCGTGCCGAAGTCCGTCCACAGTCACTGGTGTCCGAGGGGGCTCAAACTAGAACTCTTCAAAGATGTTCAGAAAAATGCTTCAACAAAAAAGACGTCCAACATAAGAATTTAAAGACGTTCAACAAGATAGGACTCTTCAAGAACGTTCGAAGACGTTCAACGTTCAAAAACAAAAATGTTTCAACAAAAAGTGTGCCAGGGCTCTTGGACTTCCGCGCGCGCACTTCCTCAACATCACCCTCATCAGCACCGCCGAATCGCGTCGTCGTCCTCGACAGTCGCCGCCATGGCCGCCGTCACCCAAGTACCTTCATCATCGACACATGGACATCATCATCGTCATCAGCGTTACCAGCGTCGGCGCTGTCATTGGCCTTGCCGCCGTTATCGCCAGGTTGGCCACCACCTTCGCTATTATCATCATCGATGCCGCCGCTGTCGACGTCATCATGACACCGCGCCCGCCAGAGCCACCGACCGACATCGAAGTGCCAGGGACGTTGCTATCGGGAAGCACCATTGCGGCCGCATCGGCTGTGCCAAACCAGCTGGCCGCTCTGCGCGCGAGCTTGCGTGCGCCAGCGCGGCCGCAGAGATGCGCCAGTCATGGCCAAGCAGTCAGCGAAATCTCCGCCGCATGGGTTTTGCAAACCAAGTTCGGGTGGGAAGGCGGGATGATTGCGCAAGCAGTTGAGTTGACAATTCAAGAACTGGCAAAAATGAACTGCACCACATAGGGCGCACATCGAGAACGCAAGATCCCAATGCGTCGGACCGCCGCCGGTAAAAACCTTTCTGAACCTTGGATGACAGCGAAGGCCCGTCTCCGTCGGTCCAGGCGGCCTCGCGCTTGGCGGCCCAGCCGCTGGCAGAGAAGCACCTCCCGCTGCGCCGCGGCCGCCACGCTGGAGCGCCAGGAGCCCGTCAGATCATGACGACGACGACGACGACGACGACGACGACGACGACGACGACGACGACTGCGACAGAAGCGGCGGCTGCAGCTGCAGCGACGACGACGACGACGACGTCGCGGTCGGACGACGACAACGACGACGACGACCACGACCACGACCGCGACCACGACCACGACCACGACGACGACGGCCACGACGACGACGACGACCACGACCACGACGACAGGGACGACGACGACAACGACGACAGGGACGACGTTCCTGTTACAGCGCCAGCCCTGTCCCAGGGAAGGCGTCCTCTTCCTCCTCCTCCTCCTCCTCATCCTCATCATCATCATCCCCCTCCTCCTCCTCCTGCTCCTCCTCCTGCTCCTGCTCCCGCTCCACCCCTCACAAAGCTCAGAGGGCCCCAGGAGCTCCAAAAGGGAGCGACAAGCTGGTGACCCGGGGCCAGGGACACCTCTAGCCACCCCCCGGGCCCATCATCGCCCCCCCCCCGTCGCCCTCCTCCTCCCCAGACACCTCGCGCTCCGCGTGGACCCCTTGATGTTTGGACAACTTCCCCAGGGCCGGCTTCTCATCCTGGGGGCCCCCAGAAGCCGAAAATCAACAAGAACCAGCCGCTCCAGTTTTCTCGGGGCCTCGGGTCTCTGGGTCCCCCCCGCGGCGAGGAAGCTGAGGACATCGGCGACGACGGGGGCCCTGTGACCGGCTCGGTGCGCCGATAGGGCGCCTCGGAGGCGAGAGGCATCGGGAGCGGCACCACGGCACCGAAGTTGGTCCTCGCTGCCGAACTCTGGCGCGGGCTTGAGCGGCCTCGAAGAGGGGCACGCGCCAGGCGAGGAATTCGAGACCCTCTCGGGCGATGACCGCTTCACTGGCACTGAGAGGGAGTTCGATGGAAGAGTCGACCACACGCAAGAGTGACCCTTCGGCGGGGTGGTCTATGGTGCAGGCCCACAGAAGTCCCCCGAGCACTGGCCTGCGCGCTTCGAGTTCGCCCCCCCGAGGCCCCCGAAAGACGCGCCCCCAAAGCTCAACCCTGTCCGGGTGGGTCGATCTTGCGCGTAGCCGACAAAATGAGCCGCGGGCAGGAGAGGTCCAGTCCAGGGTGGGACGAGTGGGGCAGAGATCTTGGAGAGAGAGAGAGAGAAGAAACATATATGTTTGTATATGTATACATGCAGCATGCATGCATGCATGCATGCATGCATACATACATACATACATACATACATACATACATGTATTCAAACATATATGCATGCATGCAAACATAGATGCATGTATACATGCAAATCTACATCTATATACATATATATACATGCATGCATACATGCAGACATCCATACGTACGTGCATGCACGCATACATAGATGCATACATACATGCATGCATGTATACAAACATGTATGCATGCATACATACATGCATACATGCATACATGTTTTGGTTCGCGGGTCGAGAGCGCACCTCTTCCGGTCGAAGCTCAGCGGGCCGCGCGAAGCTTGAATTAACCAGAGATGGGGAAAGAAAAGGGGGGGCACAGCCTCAGAACGAGGCCGGGAGGAGGCAGAGCCTCGGAATCAGGCGGTGCCGTAGCCGATGAACTTGCAAAAGAGCGTCTTTTCCATGGACCCGGTGGCGGAGTACCGGTGAAGCAAAATGTTGTGGTTGGTGCATACATGCATACATACATGCAAACATACAGACATACATATATACATACATACAATCATACATACATACATACATACATACATACATACATACATACATTCATGCATGCATGCGTACATGCATGTATGCATGCGCACATACATGCATGTATGCGTACCTGCATGCATATATGCATCTATATACATACATACATGCATACATGCAGGCGTGCATACGTGCGTGCATGCATGCATGTATACATACATGCGTGCATACATACATATAGACATGCATGCATACAAGTATGCATGCATGCATGCCTGCATGCATACATAGATGCATATATACGTGCATGCATACATACATATATGCATACATACATGCATGCATACATACATACATACATACATACATACATGCATACATACATATATACATGCATGCATGCATGCATGCATGTATGCATGCATGCATGCATGTATACATGCATATATGCATACTAGACATATACATCATATGTGCATGCATGTATGCATACATGCATGCATACATGCATGCATACAGACAGACAGGCAGGCAGACACAGACAGACAGACAGATCGACATATTAAAATCAAAAAGGACGTACCCAACCCACCCAAGAGGCTAAGCAGCGCCCGGGGCATCTGCAGGCATCACGTGTCGCCACTTCGCCGGTCGTCCTCCTCCTCCTCTTCCTCCTCCTCTTCTTCCTCCTCCTGTTCCTCCGCCCCCCCTCCTCCCCCCCCGGGAGGCGCCGCTCCGCTGGACCCCAGGGGCGCGGGAAGACCGCGGCAGCTGCACGAGGAGCGAGGAGCGAAGAGGAGGCGGAGGAGGAGGAGGAAGAAGAAGAGGAGGAGGAGCAGGAGGAGGCAAGGAGGAGGCGAGGAGGAGCAAAGAGGGAGGAGGAACGAGGAGGAGGAGGAGGAGGCGGAGGAGCGAGGAGGGAGGAGGAGGAGGAGGAGGCGAGGAGGAGGCGAGGAGGAGCGAGGAGGAGGAGGAGGAAGAGGAGGAGGAGGAGGGGGGAGGAGGAGGAGGAGGAGGAGGAGGAGGAGGCGAGGAGGAGGCGAGGAGGAGCGAGGAGGAGGAGGAGGAGGAGGAGGAGGAGGAGGAGGAGAGGAGGAGGAAGAGGAGGAGGAGGAGGAGGAGGGGGGAAGCGAGGAGGAGAAGAAGAGGAGGATGCGGAGGAGCGAGGAGGAGCGGGAGGAGGAGGAGGAAGAGGAGGAGGAGGAGGAGGAGGAGGAGGGAGGAGGAGGAGGAGGAGGAGGAGGAGGAGGAGGAGGAAGGGAGGAGGAGGGAGGACGGGAGGAGGAGAGGAGGAGGAGGAGGAGGAGGAGGAGGAGAAGGAGGAGGAGAAGGAGGAGGCGAGGAGGAGTCGAGGAGGAGCGAGGAGGAGGAGGAGGAGGTGGAGGAGGAGAGGAGGAGGAGAAGGAGGGGAGGAAGGGAGGAGGAGGAGGCGAGGAGGAGGAGGAGGAGGAGGAGGAGGAGGAGAGGAGGGAGGAGGAGGAGGAGGAGGAGGAGGAGGCGAGAGGAGGAGGAGCGAGGAGGAGGAGGAGAAGGAGGAGAGGAGAAGGAGGAGGAGGAGGAAGAGGAGGAGGAGCGAGGAGGAGGAGGCGGAGGAGGAGGAGGAGGAGGAGGAGGAGGAGGGAGGAGGAGGAGAGGAAGGCGAGGATGAGGAGGGGAGGAGGAAGAGGAGGAGGAGGAGAGGAGGAGGAGGAGGAGGAGGAGGCGAGGAGGGGGCGAGGAGGAGCGAGGAGGAGGAGAAGGAGGAGGGGGAGGAGGAGGCGGAGGAGCGAGGAGGAGGCGGAGGACGAGGAGGAGGAGGAAGAGGAGGAGGAGGAGGAGGAGGAGGAGGGAGGAGCAGGAGCAGGAGGAGGAGGAGGAGGAGGAGGGAGGAGGAGGGAGGAGGGAGGAGGAAGGAGGAGGAGGAGGAGAAGGAGGAGGAGGGAGGAGGAGAAAGAGAAGGAGGAGGCGAGCAGGAGTCGAGGAGGAGCGAGGAGCATGAGGGAGGAGGAGGAGGAGAAGGAGGATGAGGAGGAGGAGCGAGGAGCGAGGAGGAGGAGGTTGAGGAAGGAGGAGGAGGAGGAGGAGGAGGAGGAGGAGGAGGAGCAGACGGAGACGGAGACGGAGGAGGAGGAGGAGGTGGAGGATTCTGCTAGGATTCTGCTATCTAGAGCGCCCTCCCAAGGAAAGATGCGAGGGTGCCTGCTCGCTCAGTGCAGCGCCTTCTGCGCGACATGTGAACGCAGTGTGCTCTTATGTGCGGGGACCGTCAACTCACCATTCGGCGTTTGCTAAAGCCAATCGAAATCAAGAAACACAACTGATGAGAGCGCGCAGCAAAGCAGTGAATGACCACAAACGTTGCGTATACACTCTACAAGAGCTCCTGATCCTTGAGGACACCACCACACATGCAATATCAAACTGGCAACGTTGACGTATGCAGCGTAAAATACCAGCCCAATTTGAAGCTGAGAACATGAACGTGAAAGCAAACTGAACCCAGCATATGAGACAGCAACGTCGCAAATGGATTGATAGAACATCCCACCAACATTGCCGACCAAAAAAAAAACGTAGTGGAGCTCGTAGGCCAGCTGCCCCGCGTCTGCCTTGCTTGCCCCGTAGGGCCTGGGCCAGGCTCAGCCATGACAGCCGCAGCACTCCTCCACGGCGGACACGATGTCCCTCTTCCGCGATACCTTGTAGGTGGCGGCGCGCTCTCCTGGCATGGCAGGTCGGGCCCGAGCCTGCTGCCATGTGGGCCGCTAGCCTCGCCGGGGGGAGGCGGAGGAGGAGGAGGAGGAGGAGGAGGAGGAGCGAGGGGTCAGGAGGACGAGGAGGAGAAGGAGGAGGAGGAGGGGGAGGAGGAGGAGGAGACGCGAGGAGGAGCGAGGAGAGAGGAGGAGGAGGAGGGGGAGACGGAGGAGGGAGGAGAGGAGGAGGAGGAGGAGGAGAAGGCGAGGAGGAGCGAGGAGGAGGAGGAGGAGGAGGCGAGGAGGAGGCGAGGAGGAGGAGAAGGAGGAGGAGGAGGAGGAGCGAGGAGGAGGAGGCGGAGGAGGAGGAGGAGGAGGTGGAGGAGGAGGAGGAGGAGGAGGTGGAGGAGCGAGGAGGAGGAGGAGGAGGCGGAGGAGCGAGGAGGAGGAGGAGTGGAATGGAATGGATCTATCGTCGAATCACACTTGACGCTGACCTTCTCCGAGCCCGCGGCGAAAAGGAAGGACTCGACGACGAACTCTGGATATGCCAGCGCTGAGAAACAGATCGAAGGGCATGACCATAAGACCTGACGGCTGAAGCTTACGGAACATGTGGATGTCGCAAATGAGTACCTCCAACACGCCACACCCCAGAATGAACCAGATACAGCAACGTTGTTCACCCCTTCCGCCCATGCAGATACTGAAAAACTCCGCCCGCCACGCCAGACAAAGCGTATGACCCACATCGCGAGTCGAGGTGACAAAGAGCCACACCGCCGCGCCGACATGCAAACCACAACACTTGAATAACGAGATGCGCAGAATACCCCTTGCTAGGGAAAAACTATTTGTCCAAGCACAACCATCCATTGAAGTACACCCAGGCGGGAGGCGTTGGATCAGTGCACATGGGCTCCCACTGTCCCTGCCGCCTGGGGTGGATTTCGAAGAGACCGAGCAGGAACGTAATAGCCAGAAGAATATGCCCAGTATGCTGAAAGCAACTCCCATGAGACGAACCGGCTGTAGGTACTCCGCCCCGCCCCAGCAAACACAAACAGCTTGCAGAGCGAGGGCGCGAACTGGTACACCCAGGCGGGAAGCGTTGGGTCAGTGCGCAAAGGCTCCCACTGTCCCTGCCGCCTGGGATGGATGCCGAAGAACACGTGCAGGAATGAAGCCCAGAAGAATATGCGCAGCAAAACATCAGATAATGTTGTGCGGCTGCTCCGAGAAAGACACACACCATACATCGATCGAAATTCGCTCCGTTTAGCCACTGGGATAGCTGTCCAAAACCAGAGAGGTTGACAAAAGTTCAGCTGAGGTGAAATCGGCTCGATGCGGCCCTTATTCAATGATGTGCAAACACCACTGGTCATCGGGCAACCCCAAGAGGGATCGCCTCCTCCACGGACAGCCCCACAATATCAATACAAAAGACGAGGGATGCTACCCAGTGCCCCTCAGGCGCCGACGTGGAGGCACGGAGCTAGGAGTCACATGGCAAGTGTGAGCCCAAATGGGTACGACACGCGCCTCGGGCCCCCTGTGCTTGAGGGCGGAGGAGGAGGAGGAGGAGGAGAAGGAG